TGCTAATGACTATTTCTACGTTCCGAACCTACTATTGACAAATACGATGTCATTAGCTCCCAAAATTGATGAAGTGAGTTGTTTTGTCACAGAAAAGAGTCCTGACCTTGCCTGTATAACGGAAACATGGCTAAATGACCGTATCTCAGATTCCTGCCTCGATATTCCAGGTTACAATTTTGTTCATAAAAACCGCAGTGTGGGCTCCCACGGAGGGGTTGGGGTGTACATCAGGAACACGATATTTTATAAGCCTCTGAATCATCTCCACCATATAGATTACGAAGTTCTGTGGGTCTATGTTCGTCCAAGTAAACTTCCCCGCGGGTTTTCCTGCTTGATACTTGGTGTCGTTTACCATCCACCTAATGCTAATGATGATGAAATGCTCCAATTTCTCTCCACATCACTGATTACTATTGAAAGCACCTATCCTGGCTGTGGGTTTATTCTTGCAGGCGACTTTAATTGGTTAAAATGCAATCGGATATTAACACAGTTCAGTTGCAAACAGATTGTTAACGTTTCTACAAGGGCCAACCAGACTTTGGATCTAATAATAACCAACTTACATTCGTTTTATGATAAGAACTCTGTCCAAAAATTTCCGCCATTTGGTCTTTCAGATCATAATGTTGTGATTGTCAATCCTTGCAAAAGAGAACCCAAGTCATGCAGTAGAAGAATTATCTCTAGTAGAGATTTACGATCTAGTAAAAGGCATGAGCTTGGAAGATACCTTACATCTATCGATTGGTCCTCTCTGAATCATTTTGACACATGCGAAATGAAACTCCAGTATTTCGAAGAGTTAGTACGTCTCGGTATTAGCACCATTATGCCAATAAAGAAAACGGCTTTGCATGTACACGATCCTCCATGGATTACTGCAGAATTTAAAGAGCTTATAAGGAAGCGTCAAGCTGCCTTCTGCAGTGGAAATACCTTTCAGTTCAAGTATTACCGGAATCGGGTTAACCGCGAGCGAAAGACATGCCGGGCGAAATTCTACTCTTCAAAAGTAAAGAATCTTAAATCGACCAAACCGAAGAGATGGTGGAAGGAGGTGAAGCAGATTGCTGGTATGGTACCTACAACCGGCTCCGATGACCTATGTAGTCAACTTCATTTAGACGATATCGAGAATATGCAACGTCCTGACATTGCGAATTTAATTAATAACGCCTTTTTGGAGCCCATGAACTCCTTCAATCCACTGTCAACCCTTCCCCCCTTTGATAATTATTCCTCTTTTCAAGTGAACGAATTGGAAGTCTTTCATTTATTGAAAGCAATTAATCGTGGAAAGGCGTCAGGTCCTGACGAAATTCCCAATTGGGCTCTTAAGGAATATGCTGAAATCCTTGCACAGCCAGTATGCGCTGTGCTAAACAGCAGCTATGCCGAACAACAACTACCTAAATCTTGGAAGCTTGCCAACATTGTGCCCCTCATAAAAACTAAGCCCGTTAGCGACATTTGTAAGCAGTTACGACCAATTTCACTTACTGCCGCTATTTCGAAAATCGCTGAGGACTGTGTTGTTAAAAAATACATTGCTCCAGCTATCATGAGTATAATCGATCCAAGTCAATATGGAGTAATACCAAGAAGTTCAACTACTCTCGCTGTTATATCTATGATCCATGAATGGTCGCAAGCTACTGATGGCACTGGCTCTGCTGTCAGAGTCATCCTGTTCGATTATAGAAAAGCATTCGACCTTATCGATCATGCTTTACTGGCTGATAAAATTTCCAATTTAGCTATTCCACGTGCGGTTGCTCGCTGGACAATCGATTTTTTGATGAATCGAAAGCAGAGAGTGAAATTATCCAATGACTGCTATTCGGAGTGGGGAGATGTACTTTCCGGTATCCCTCAAGGTACAAAATTAGGGCCCTGGCTATTTTGTTTAATGATAAACGATCTTGATATTTGTGATATATCGAGGTGGAAGTTTGTTGATGACACAACAGTTGCTGAAGTAGTTAGTAAGGACACAGAGAGCCGTGTTCAAGTCGCAGTTGATGTTGTGGAAGATTGGTCGAAGGCAAATGGGCTATCTCTTAACGCTGAGAAATGTAAAGAACTGAGAATCGATTTTAAAAAAATTAAACAACCTTTTGATCCTGTACTGGTGGGTGGAGAAGCATTGCCTATAGTTGAGAGTGCAAAAATATTGGGTCTTGTTATGACAGGCACACTTCAGTGGAAAGATAACATCAGAGAGAGTATAAAGAAAGCTAATAAACGCCTCTATTTTATAGTATTATTGAAACGGGCAAGCGTAAATGTCAATGATGTCTTGAACTTTTATTGTACAGTGATCAGGCCTGTGCTCGAGTATTGTGCGCAAGCCTTCCATCATTCCATCCCAAAGTATTTGGCAGACGAACTTGAGACTGTCCAGAAACGTGTGCTAAAAATTTTATCTCCTGAAATGACATATTGTGAGGCCCTTGAGTATTTTAGACTGCCTACTCTATTTCAAAGAAGAGAGGACATGTGTGACAAACTCTTTACGAGTATCATCAAGGATCCAATGCATAAACTTCATCATCTGCTGCCCCCGAAGAACGAGACTGATTATTCTTTCAGGACGAATCGGTATTTTAATATGTACGTTACACGCACGAACCGCTTTTATAACTCTTTTATCCCTGCTATGTGTAGGAAGTTTGTAGGATAGATTTTATGCTTATTTTAATCGAATTTTGATCGTGGGTGGGTTTTTATAATATTGTATTAATAATATATTTATATGTAGTGCATGTGATAATATGTAATCCACGCAATTCAGCATCTGGCTGCAATGTGGTTTCAATTTAATAATAATAATAACAAAATAATAATAACAAAATAACAAGCCAATCAAGGAAAGGGAAGAAGAAGTCTCTTTTAAATAGTTCTCTACGATCACCATCAGCATTTCGTGAACTTTCAAACACAGAAGCATCTTGGTGCAGGTAGAACAAACCATCATTGAGGTAAGCGGGCATGGTACGCTGACGCTTTGGGGCATGAGTATAGCCAGGATAGTTGCCAAAATCATTCACGACCAGTTTGTGTTGGGTACAGTAATCTTGGACTTCAGTAAAGAACTGCTCCATTTTTTCTTCGTTTCTAAATGAAGATAACTCTGCTTTAAGAGATTGCACGCCAGATACAGAAGAAACTAAATCCATGTTTTCATGCTGAAATACTTTGATTTAACAGGATACACGAGGCAATAAACTCCAACCTTTGCAACCGCAACAGCAGATCATCAGCAGCTGATTCTCCCTCTCCTGACATGTGCTGCGGCATAAATGTAATGGCAGGTAGTGTATTTAAAACAACAATTAGGTTGTCAGATCTTACTTTCCATCATGTGTCAACAGAGAGTACAACGCTCTCTTTCCTGTAGAGATACCATAGGCCCGCAGCTTCTCTTCGTATAACGCGTGCCTTTTCGGAGACCCCTCCAAATAACGATTTTTTGAACCAATTATATCGAATACAACATTCACTGCAATGACGCTGTTGACACTTTTCTCCAGAACAAGATTTAACCTATGAGCAAAGCAACGGAAGTAGACAGACTTACTTGTTCCGGCTTTGGTGATATGTACGGTGGCCCACAGGTGTCACTGCAACAGTTTGAAACGTACACAGCACAACATTTGTATTACACGGCAATTTTCGATATAGTGGTGCCATGCAATGGAATTGTCTTTCTGAGGATTCAAAAAATTCTGAAACCCTTTCTTCTTTTAAAAGAAAAATACGTCAGGCATGAACAACTCCTTTGGATCGCACCAATTGTTAAGTTTTTATATAATTCCTTTTCTATTATCCTTTGCTTCCTTGTTTTTTTCTATATAGTTTAACTTGTATATAGTTTAATAATGTGTATACTCTTTAATTTGTAAATAGTTATTGTGTGATGCCTCTCATGAAAAGCAGCTCACGTTGATCGAGACTAGCGTGTTTAAATAAAGTTTTAGCATGCCATACCCTCCCATACCATACCATACCATCTGCCTTGAATGTTCACGGCAACTTTGAAAATCCAGGGCAACAATTAAAAACCTCACGGCAACTTTGAAAATCCACGGCAACAATTAAGAATCTCACGGCTACTTTCAAAATCCACGGCAACAATTAAGAATCTCACGGCTACTTTGAAAATCCACGGCAACAATTAAAAATCTCACGACTACTTTGAAAATCCACGGCAACAATTAAAAATCTCACGGCAACTTTGAAAATCCACGGCAACAATTAAAAATCTCACGGCAACTTTGAAAATCCACGGCAACAATTAAAAATCTCACGGCAACTTTGAAAATTCACGGCAACTTTGAAAATCCACGGCAAATTTAAAAGACCACGGCAACAATTGAAGATTTCACGGCGGAAGTGGATTTTCTTTGATTCTAGTTACCAGATTCCTTATTCTACTGACCATCCAAAATAGCGGCGAATAGTATAGGGTTCGAAGAGGAGAATGAAAATAGTGATAAAATCAATGATCTAACTGACCTAACTGATGAAGAAGAGATCATACGTTTTTATTTTCACCGAGGATTTCATTATGAGAGATTCTAAACTTTCTTCAGAAATTTCATGACAAGGAGATGAACTCGAGTACATTAAAACGTCGAATTAAAAAGTACGGTCTTCAACGAAAAATAGCGATTGTGACCTTGACGTTATCCGTGATGCAGGAAGATCTTTACTGGATGGCCCTGGGTGTTGCAGATCGCTACCGCGGAATATGGCATACACTTCAGATGAACAGAATGACAGTGCCAAGAGTTGTTGTCGCAGAACTATTGCGAGAGCTACATCCGGAAGGTGTACAAGAAGGGTCAAGGCACAGATTGAAGAGAAGAGTTTATCGGAATCCAGGCCGTAATTATTCGTGGCACTGTGACGGATACGACAAACTAAAACCATACAGCTTCCCCATCCATGGGTGCATAGATGAGTGGAGCCGGAAGATTCTTTGGTTGTATGTTACGCAATCCAACAATCAACCTAATAACATAGGAATGTACTATTCAGAAGCCGTGGGAGACGAGAAGCTCTAACTTTTCTCAAATCTTATCTCACAAACAGAAACCAGAAGTGCCAAATTAAGAATTCCTTTTCGGCTACAGAGCGATTGATTAAATGTGGCGTACCACAAGGCTCTATCTTAGGACCACTATTCTTTCTGTTATATATAAATGATTTACCTCAGTGTCTAAACAAAACAAAACCTCGATTGTTTACTGACGACACAAATCTGACAGCTTCGGGAGATTCTATAATTGACCTTGAAATTGCAGTAAATTCTGATTTGGAAAACCTCAGAAAATGGTTAATTGCCAATAAACTTAGTCTAAATGTAGCTAAGACAGAATTTATGTTAATTGGTTCAAAGGCAATGATTAAAAACAATTCTGATTCACGTTTGAATGTTTTCATTGAAAATAAGCAAATTAAACAAGTTAGCGAATGCAATACTCTTGGAGTAATAGTTGACCAGCATTTGTCTTGGAAAAGTAATTCCAAAAATATTTGCAAAAAAATAACTGCAGGAATCTCTGCTATTCGTCGAGTCAAACCTTTCGCTGACAAAGATACACTCATTTCGATATTTAACGGTATTGTTCGCCCATACTTTGATTACTGTTGTGAAGTATGGGATGTGTTTGGTAAATCACAATCAAAACGACTCCAAAAACTTTAAAATAGAGCTGCTAGAATTATCTTGAACATGAGTAATGACGTAAATCATTCCATTGCTCTACGTGCATTGGGCTGGGAGCCACTCAAAACTGAAAGGAAGAAAGCTAAGGCAAAAATGATGTACAAAGTATTAAATAAAATGGGTCCTAAATCACTCACTAATCTTTTTTCATACAAATGTGAGAAAACAAACTACAACCTTCGTGACATTTCAAGCGGTCTTAGTCTACTAAAACCGCATACTAACAACAAAAAAATAGTTTCATGTATGACGGAGCACACCTTTGGAATTCTATTCCAAAGGAAATTAGGGAAAGCAAAACTCTTTCATCCTTTAGAAATAAAATCGCTGCTCACCAAATTGACATAGAGTAAATTGATGTAACTGTAAATATTCTAACAACCTTCTTATCATGTAAATTATTTAATATTCTACCTTTTCAAACTTAAGTATTTTAATATCTCCATGTAACATTTTTCTATTTTTGCACACGCCCCCCGTGGAAATCAGTTTCGGTTGACGGGGTCAGCGTGTGTAAATAAAGTTTCTATCTTCTATCGATCTTCTCCTTGTAACCAGAGGATTGAAGGCTGGTGGTCATTCCTAAGGAAAGACCAAACATCATGGTGGATGAACTTTTTTAAAGATCTTGTAGATCTCTGTGTTTTGTTTTGCAGCACTATTACAAGAGAATTTAAATGAAAAGGGAGACCAGATTCTTTATACTATCTCCCTGAACTTCACAATGGCCGATCTAATTAGCATCTGCCTGTTCCTGAGGAAGAAAAATTGTATGCTAGAGAGCATATAATCAGTGACTATACTGGGCAAAATGACTTTTTATTAAATACTTGAAATATAACTGTTACATCATTATTGTCCATAAATAGCAAAAGCTAGTCGAGATGGACAGTGGTTTACATTAGGCATCTTAATAATCAAAGAATAACCAAAGAATCAAAGAATAATCAAAGAATACTATATTTCATGTAGAAAGAGACTGGAATAGGGTATCGACGTCGAAACGTGTAAAACATTTATGCTTTACCGCATAGAGTATTGATAATAGCCGAGAACGAAATCCGTAATATTAAATTAAAGTTGATGATCTTAAATTTTGATTTATATTTCTAAAATCTGTTTTTGGTTTTTCCAAATTGCTTTAATATAACTGAGATATCAATATATTCATCTTCCATTACTAACATTTGGAGAAGCTTGTCATGTATTTTCACGTAATTCCATAGAAATCACATTCCAAACTCTAGCTCCCGCGGGTATTTGCGAAAAATCTTTTTTGTATATCAAAACCTGTATACTTGACATGAAAATTTTTCATTGAAGAAGATCGAGTGTTATATTCGTGTATCTTTTCAAGAGAAGTAAACATCGCGGAAATATTTGGAGGGACATTTGTCTTTGATATGTCGTACATTAATATTGATATCGATTTAATATAAAGCAGGTTTATTGGTAAAATACTTGCAGATTGAAAGAAGGGGATTGCGTGAGACCGATAATGTGCAGAATATATTAGTCGAATAGCACGTTTTTGAATTTTAAGAATTTTATCAATGTGGCATTTTTCAGCTTGACCCCACAAAACAATTCCGTATGTAAGATGAGGTAAAATGAGGGACTTATAAATATTTATTAATGTATTTACTGGAACAAAAGATCGCTATTTTGCAATAATACCAATAAGCCTACTAACTTTGGAGGCGATATACCCAATATGGCATTTCCAAGAAAGGTACAATCTATTAAAATACCAAGATATTTAATATGATTTTTAAGTTATAAAGAAACATACGTTTTTGAGTGAATATCATAAATTTTCAGGTCCACCACATAATCTGGCCGTTTTTGTTAAGGATGAAAAATGATGTAGTTAGATTTATTAATATGCAAAGTTAATTTGTTCACTATTAACCATTTTAGAAAGTTCAGTGTTAACAATGATTTCTAAGGATTTTAAATTTTTATCATCATATATCAAATTTGTATCATCAGCAATAGGAGTTATAAATGTAATTTATTATTATTATTATTATTATTATTATTATTATTATTATTATTATTATTATTATTATTATTATTATTATTATTATTATTATTATTATTATTATTATTATTATTATTATTATTATTAAATCAATAACCTTCAAACCTTCGATCAATAACCTTTGGAAGGATACTAGCAATCACAAAAATGTACAATATGACAAATACAAAAACACCAAGGACGTATTAAACACCATCAGGAAACAACATGAAAACAAGCTTCAACACCACCTCATTTCACAAGGCTCATTTTTCTCCAATATCATTAAACATTCTACACTCTCATTCAACTCTATATCCGGTATATAAATAACACTCTTCCGACTCGCAAAAACCTTCTGAAATGGGGAATATCACCAACATCCGAATGTTCGTTTTGTTTGAATCCAGAATCACTTCTTCACGTCGTCGCTGGATGCAAGACCTACCTAAATGAAGGACGTTTCACGTGGCGTCATGATTCGGTGCTTAACTTCATAGCATCCATACTTAAATCTGTGAACCATTGTAACCTTTATGCTGACCTTCCTGGCTATATCAGTCCATCTGTTATCACCGGAGGTGAATTGCGCCCTGATCTTTTGATAACACTTGAAAACAAATGTATTTATATACTTGAACTTACCGTCGGATTTGAATCTAATCTCCTCACTAATGCAACTCGAAAAAGACAAAAATGTCAAGATCTAATTAACGAACAGCTCGAAAATTATGAAAAAGTGAAATTTGTAAATTTATCGATTAGCTCATTAGGAGTTTTCAGCCACCCGTCGCTAGATTTCACCGAAATGCTGAAGGATCTAAAGTTTGATGAACAATGTAGAAAGTACTATGTTCGGAAAATTATTAACATATGTATCAGGTCCTCGTATTATATATTCTGTAAGCTAGCGTAACAAAGAATAGGATAACCCACAACTAATGTCATACTAATATTGTTATTATGTAGAGTGTTAATTCAAGTAGACACTGGTAAACTACCTGTAAAGAGAGGTTTTTCATTGTAGTGTGTATATATATTATTGAAAGTAATAAAGTTTCCATTATTATTATTATTATTATTATTATTATAACTTTACCATACGCTATATCAATAACTCTCTTCCGACACGCAAGAACCTTAGCAGATGGGGATTGTCTTCAAGTTCAGAATGCTCCTTTTGTCTTGGCCCAGAATCATTATTGCACGTGGTCGCTGGATGTCAGTGTTATCTCGATCGATTTACGTGGAGACACAATTCAATCCTGAATTTCCTTGCCAATACCTTGCAAACTGTGAACGGTTCTGCCCTCTACGCTGATGTGCCTGGATTCAAAAGTCCTTCAATAATAACTGGTGATACGTATCGCCAGGATTTGTTGCTATCGTTATCAAATGGCTCTCTTTATGTGGTCGAGCTCACTGTTGGCTATGAGACAAACCTCGAGAACAACGTTACTCGGAAAAAAGCCAAATATAAAGAACTAGTAAAACAACTAGACGAAAATTTTAACGAAGTAAACTTTATAAATCTTTCTATGAGCTCCCTAGGTATTTTTGCGCAAGAATGCTCTACATTCTTAGAAATGTTAGGAAATGTTGGTCTGGACAAAAACTACCAAACGTACTGTGTTAGGAAAATGATGACTATTGCCATTCGAAGTACATACTATATTTTTTGCTGCCGAAATAAGGAATTGGAAAGTCCGGACTTGTTAACTATTTGAAATATCTGATTGTCTTGTATATTTATATATTTTCATGTATTCTGTCTTATCATTTTTATTAGTTCATATAGTTGTGATTCAAATAGCCAATTGTAAGTTACCTTAAATTAGTGAGATTTACAATTGTATATATATAGTATATAACAAAATTATTAAAGTTTCCATTATTATTATTATAGGCTTTATTTAACGAGGCTAACAATTTACAGTAGTAAATTAACACTGATGACTTAGTGGCCCTCACTATATACTAAGTTGAAAAATATAGATTAAGAAAAGCAAAGGTCCTAAGACCGACCCCTGAGGAACGCCTGACAAGGTTTTTTCTTTGGCAGATGTGTTTTGGCCAATTTGTGTTGTTTGCATACGACCTAATAAATATGATGAAAACCAGTCATTACTATACCCCTAATTCCATGATGTTGCAATTTTTTTAGTAGTATAGAATAATTAACCGTGTCAAAAGCTTTTTGCAGATCGATAAATATGCCGCAAGTATACAGGTTTTTTTGCCATGTTTGACTGGATTTGATTAGTTATATCTAGAATTGAGTGTTGGGTTGAATGGTCCGCCCGAAAACCATACTGTGAATTAAATACAATGTTGCGTTTCTCAAGGAACGATTTCAGGCGATTATATATCAATTTCTCAAAAATTTTATTGAAAATCGATAAAAGTGATATTGGTCTATAATTCGTGGGATCAGTTTCATCATCCTTTTTATAGATAGGAATGACTTTTGAATGTTTTAGCTTAACTGGGTATTTCCCACTAACGACCGATTTATTCATTAATAATTCAGCCAATGGTTCTGATAAGATGTGTCTAGCACATTTTAATATACGAATTGGACAAGAATAGAGGCCATGGGTTTTTTTATTGGTATTGACATTATTTCTTCCAAAGATACAGAGGCCATGGGATTTTTTCTTTGGTATTGACATTATGACTTCCAAAGATATTTTACTTATATTGTGGAGAGTAACTCATTAGAAAAGCCTTCTCACTGGAGGGATGCACTGGAGTTGTACCATGTGCTTATCAACTGTGCAAGTAATGGTGAAATTGTAGTGTGACACATTAACATTGCTATGGGGGGTGTTGAATAGGAATGTAAACTGACGTCTTATAAGACAACTTTTTTATGAGCGTGTTAAGAAGCTATTAATAATAACTATGTCTTGTCACAAATATCAATAACAATTAACAACTATTATGTGATTTTAGTTTCAGACCACAGTATTTAGGGATCAATGTTATTGTTTACTTTTGAGAAATTATCTATTTTATATATACATTTTTTGCATCAAAATAAACGAAATAGGTTGTTTTGTATTAATACAATTTAATAAAATTTAACCGACGAGTGTTATATAATAGAGTTATATTTAAAGAAAAGGTGTTATAAACATTTTGTGGATTGTAAACCCTATAAAACAACGGTAACTCCAAAACTAAACACTTTAATATCTTCTAGCTTTCGACTAAGTTTTATACTTCGAATGGCAATAGGCATCATTTTCCTAACACAGTACGTTCGGTAGTTTTTGTCGAGACCAACATTTCCTAACATTTCTAAGAATGTGCAGTAGAGCATTCTTGCGCAAAAATACCTAGGGAGGTCATGGAAAGATTGACAAAGTTTACTTCGTTAAAATTTTCGCCTAACTGTTTTCCTAAGTTCTCTATATTTGGCTTTTTTTCGTTTAACGTTGTTCTCGAGGTTTGTCTCATAGCCAACAGTGAGCTCGACCACATAAAGAGAGCCATTTGATAATGATAGCAACAAACCGGGCGATACGTATCACCAGTTATTATTGACGGACTTTTGAATCCAGGCATATCAGCGTAGAGGGCAGAACCGTTCACAGTTTGCAAGGTATTGGCAAGAAAGTTCAGGATTGAATTGTGCCTCCACGTAAATCGATCAAGATAACACTGACATCCAGCGACCACGTGCAGTAATGATTCTGGACCGAGACAAAACGAGCATTCTGAACTTAAAGACAATCCCAATCTGCTAAGATTCTTACGTGTCGGAAGAGAGTTATTGATGTAGCGTATAGTAAAATTATAAATGTTTTTCGGAAGTTTTGATTGAGCAGTAGACCACACTTTGTTAAGATGCGACAAGGAGAACTTTGTTACATTAGAGAAAAAGGATCCCTGACTAGTTAATTGGTTTTTGAGTTTATCTTCATGTTCAGAGCGAAGATCTTTAAGCACTTCTTTGGTTGAGTTATAAAAGTCGTATTGGACATTGGTATGAGTATTAGTAGATTTCCACAGTTCGTTAATTGATTGATTAGGAGAAAGTTTTAAAGCTTTTCGAAGAACTGTTTGGCATTGAATAAATTTCACCGATGGAGGATAAATACTTTGACCAAATTTGTTACGGGTTAGAAAAACAGTACTTAGTGTTCCTGAGATTGGAATTTCAAGCCATTTACGGATGTATCGGTTGACTGCGGGATCAATATTTTCAATAACCCATGTTTTAAAAAGTGTTGCGATGGTGAAATGCCAGGATAATTTGGATAAGACATAACGACTGTACACGAGAAGCTTATTTCTTGGGTGGAGTGGCTTCGAGTCAATATCAGTCATTAGTTCATTAACGAGAGTGGTTAGTTCAGTCTTATGGTTATCGTTCGACATGTTAAAATCAAAGTAACGTCCTAAATATTGAAATGCTTCTCCAATCTTTATTGTTGGTATCAGATTATTGTTGATGAGGAGTTTGGGCAAATATTGGACTGATTTTGTGATGGCTTTCTTGCCAAACGTAATACATTTATCGATTCAGATAATCATATTGGACCATTGGCACCAGATAGAAAATCGATTTAAGACATGCTGGTTTTCAGATTCTTGGCCACTTGAATAATAATAATAATAATAATTATGATAATAATAATAATAATAATAATGGAAACTTTTTATTAGATATTTACGATATACTATATATACATTGATAAACCTCACTTAATAAAAGGTAGCCTATCGATGTCCACTTGAATTGAATATAAAGCTAAAATATATATACAGGTGAAAATCTTTTAAATTTAGTTAAAAGTTTAAAAGTTCTGGGTTGTTCCAGTCTTTGTTTCGTCTACAGAATATATAATATGACGTGCGAATACAAGTAGCAATTATTTTCTTTTTTACATATTTAATACATTGTTCGTCGTACTTCAGATCATGGAGCATATCAAATAAAGTATTCGTCGATTCACCAAATACACCTAAAGAGCTTATAGATACATTAACAAACTTAACTTCATCATATATATTTTCTTGATCGGTAATTAGAGTAAAATATTTTTCATGTTTTCGATCTGAGTTAGTTTTCAGGTTTGTTTCGAATCCAACAGTTAATTCTAGAATGTACAAAATCTTATTTTCAATTGTCAATAGAAGGTCTGGTCGTAACTCGTCACCAGTGATGACAGATGGGCTAATAAATCCAGGCAGATCTACATACATTTTGAACCTTCCGACGTCGAGAAGGCTGGACGCAATGAGATTCAAAACTGAATCATGTCGCCATGTATATCTCCCTTCGTTTAGATATGTCTTACATCCAGAGATTATGTGCAAAAGCGATTCAGGGCAGAAGCAGAACGAACAGTCAGCAGATGATGACAGTCCCCATTTAACTAGGTTTTTCCTAGTAGGCAAAGAATTGTTGATGTAACGTAGACTGAAGTTAAATATGTTCTTAGGAAGTTTTGAATGAACCGATGACCATAGGGAATTGAATGTCAACGTGGAGTTTTTCACGATGTTTGAGAAAAAAGAACCTTGTGACATTAGGTTATTTTGTAGTCGCTGTTCGTTTTTTTGTCTAAATGCCTTCAATACATCTTTTGTGTTTGAGTAAATGTCGTACTGAATGTTCCTATTGGTGCTTGTTATTGACCATAATTCACGTATGTTTTCAATAATAATAATAATAATAATAATAATAATAATAATAATAATAATAATAATAATAATAATAATAATAATAATAATAATAATAATAATAATAATAATAATAATAATAATAATAATAATAATAATAATAATAATATTAATAATAATAATAATAATAATAATGGAAACTTTATTAAATGTTTTTCTTTACATACATATACAATCGTAAATCTCTCTCATAAAGGCAACTTACGGTTGGCTATTTGAATCACAATTATACTAAACTAAACTAAAATAACAGACCAAAGTGCATGCAATATATATATACAATGAGATAAGTCATATTGTTAGTAAATCGGGATTTTCCCATTCCTTATTTCGGCAGCAAAAAATGTAATATGTAGTTCTAATAGCAATAGTCATCATTTTCCTAACGCAGTACATTTGGTGGTTTTTGTCAAGACCAATGCTTTCTAACATGTCTAAAAATGTATAACATTCTTCTGCAAAAATACCTAAAGAGCTGATGGAGAGATTTATAAATTTAACTTAGTTAAAATTTTTACCTAGCTGTCTCAATAATTCTCTATATTTATCCTTCTTCCGTTTTACGTTGTTTTTGAGGTTTGTCTCATAACCAGTGGTGAGTTCAACCACATATAAGGAACCATTTGAGCACGATAATAACAAATCTGGGCGATACGTATCACCAGTAAGTATTGAAGGGCTTTTGAATCCATTTAGATCAGCGCAGAGAGTAGAACCGTCAACAGTTTGTAAAGTATGAGCAAGATAATAATAATAATAATAATAATAATAATAATAATAATAATAATAATAATAATAATAATGGAAACTTTATTAAATGTTTTTCTTTACATACTTATACAATCGTAAATCTCTCTCATAAAGGTAACTTACGGTTGGCTATTTGAATCACAATTATACTAAACTAAAATAACAGAACAAAGTGCATGCAATATATATATATATATATATATATACAATGAGATAAGTCAAATTGTTAGTAAATCCGGATTTTCCCATTCCTTATTTCGGCAACAGAAAATGTAATATGTAGTTCTAATAGCAATAGTCATCATTTTCCTAACACAGTACATTTGGTGGTTTTTGTCAAGACCAATACTATCTAACATGTCTAAAAATGTATAACATTCTTCTGCAAAAATACCTAAAGAGCTGATGGAGAGATTTATAAATTTAACTTGGTTAAAATTTTTACCTAGCTGTCTCAATAATTCTCTATATTTATCCTTCTTCCGTTTTACGTTGTTTTTGAGGTTTGTCTCATAACCAGTGGTTTGTCTCATAATAATAATAATAATAATAATAATAATAATAATAATAATAATAATAATAATAATAATAATAATAATAATAATAATAATAATAATAATAATAATAATAATAATAATAATAATTACAACTTTATTCATCATTTCATTATATACAACAATGCTTTTGTTATCAATGACTATATTATATAATCTGTTCTTTGGGTATAATTAAAAAAGTGTCTAAATGTTTGTTGATATGTACAGTTAAATTTTAAAAACAAACTCTGGAACATATACCGCTACATAATTAAAATATTTACCGCTAAGTAGCTAAATAACTAAACTAACATATTCCGCTAAATAACTAAACAACTAAACTTTGTATATGTACAGTCTAAAATGTTTGAGAGATAGCACTCTCGGCGTTCTCAATGTTGAAATCAATGTTCTTAATATCATGCATGATTTTCCTTGCCCTTGAACCCCTCAAGCAGGTAAGTGCCGATCTCAATAAAGCGAATGAGGTTCTGGCTCTTATCCAACTCATAGTTGTCGCATAATCTTCGCCTTTCTTCATGGCTACCAACTCTGCCAATCGACTATGGTATCTCACACATTCTTTGCCCATACAGCCTGTGGTGGTGAATACGAGTAGCGTAAATGTTCCTTGCTCTATTTCGAGGACTCTCCTTGCATATAGGCGCTTCTTCTCGTTTTCGTGTATCTTGTAGACTTGGCGTAGCTCCAGGTCCTTGTACGAATCAGCATTGGGATGACAAACCCTTACATCAAAAAAGGCTGATCGTTGACTTTCCCAGAACCCACGCGCACGAATGTCGAGTCTAGCATCAGGTGCTCTGTTGGAGCCTCCATTTAGTTGCTCTCCCGAGATGTCTTGTAGGACAGGCTCAACTTGGACTTCACTACAGACAATGTTGAGGAGTTCCGCTTCCAGATCTCTTAACTCATTGTGGCGCATAATTACAAAGCCTCCACGTTTGCAGATCATGGCATGGTCAACTGTGAAGGTATCCCCACATACACATATGGAGGGATGTCGTCGCTTGGCCAATCATAGCGCAGCTTTACGGCGTCCCGAAATTCTCTCTTATTCAAGTTGAATCCCTGCTCTTTTAGGGGAAGTGCTGTGAGCGACACAGATGATCCTTTTTCCAAAGCCACATCTAATATACGCTGAATTCTTGGTGGTGCACTCTCTCTAATACGTTCTGCCCTCTCCTCCCACTCTGGCACTCTTTCTTTTCTAACGGCTTGTTGCACTATTTTATATACGACTCGTCGGGTAGCTGATGGAACTGCGCTACAATCTGATCAACAAGGGGTGCTGTCACTCTTTTTGACGACACATACTGACGTTCTGCCTCATGACTTGGATTTTTCAAGCCCAGACCACCCAAGTTTGGACCAAGAGTATTCAATGCATCCCACCAATCTTTGATTTGTGTCACACGACCAGCTCCACTCGCATCGTCTGCGAACCAACACTGCTTCATGGTAGATGCGGCCTGTAGACTCGTGATCAAAGGCAGGGTACTTATCGCATAAAAGGCCATTGCCAAAGGATCTCCTTGTGTGGTTCCTTCTGCTGACGAAATCTCTTTGCCGCCAACAATAAACAGCCGAGCTGGCTGTCTGTAGGTGTTTATAGCGTAGGCAGCGATTATCGGACATAACGCACGGATGTTATGCAGAGCCACAGTTCTGTTGAGTGCATTGAATGCATTAGAAGCATCGATAAGTAAAACAGCATCAATGTCATCAGCTTCAAACAGGGTGTTCATTGCATGTATTGCAGCCTCACTTCCAGACTTTTGCCATCGCATAATTGTAACGATCCACTTGCTTCCACAACATCCTTCTTTGCAAAGCTCATAACACATTTTGCACTTATCCTCCTTATTACATCTCCTACACCGATAGGTCTTACCGCACCTTCGCCTTTGTCTAGGGGAATTAAACGACTAGCAATCAATGCTTCAATAGTGGTAGGATCGATATATTGTGCGCACAAAGTCTTGGTCATTCTGGCTATAGCTTCGCACAGTCTTGTAGATGATTGCTTTAAGGACTTACATGCCAACATTCTTCTAAAGCCGTTAGCATCGACACCAGACGGGCCTCCGGATCTTTTTGTTCTCAAAGCGGCTTGTCTAACCATCTCACCATTGATCTGTGAGTAAACAGATTCGGGTATCTCGTCATTGAGCGGGCCAAATAATACCGATCCTAGTTTTGCTGGTTGTGGCTCAGGATGCTTCTGTTTTAATTGCGTCATTACATCGTCAGTTAACGTTAACACGCCGCCATTTGAGGTTTCACTCAGGAAGCGAAGGGCTGAGTTGATTTGACCTTCTAGCACAAGCTTAGCAAAGACTTTAGCTTTATCGGGATGGTTTGATCCTTTAAATTTTCCAATACGACTTTGTATGATCCGTCCCTCGCGTATTAGCTTACTGATCTCACCGTCCTTCCAAAGTGCAAGTCGCTTTGACAAAGCATCTTGATGGTCCTTTGCCTTGGACTTCGGGTTTGGCTTTTGAAGCCCAACGGCGAGAAGTACAAAAACAGCTTTTAAGGAAACATGTTGATTTTCCGAACCGCTATTCCAGTCGTTTATATGCATCGTTATTTGATCGATAAAATCCCTTCCTATTTTCCCGTATGGCACTAGAAAAACATTCTTTTTCCAAGTTGTAATTTCTACATATGCATCTGTAATGTCTGAAGTCGATATAACTATTGTTCGTCCATCGCCTCGCTTCCCCCAATTAATCATAGGTGGTTTATTTACATTATTATACTCCGGAAGACAGCCCGAGATAATTGCATTATCTTCGTTCTGGTCGAGTGCTCCCGTAATTTCATGTTGATTATTATGCAAATCGTGAGGGGTTGTAGTTTGCAATTCATTCGTTTGAATAGTATACTGCGATTCATTAATCAAGGCGGTATCTTTCGCCGACATATCGAAACCGTGTGAGCCCTCTCCCGTTTGCGAATCCCGTATTAAATTGTCCTTATTCAACTCCGGTAAATTGCTTTGGTTTATAGCAACAGAATCTCTTGATTATTGCCTTCGATTAGCCATATTGACTTGCTATCGCTGACATAGTGTTTCACAAAATCATTTAAACTATTGCCTTTCTGAGTTCATCTGTTCGAAATTGTCTCGTTTACACAACAAACTAGATTTTGTGCAGGAATTTCAACAACAACAAAATAGTATAAAGTCGTATTTTCGTTTATAAAACACAAACGTTTCTTCCTGACGTGTAGCATGTGGACGCCATATTAATAATAATAATAATAATAATAATAATAATAATAATAATAATAATAATAATAATAATAATAATAATGAAAACTTTATTAATAGAACATTTATATATATATACAATTGTAAATCTCACATCTTGAGGTAACCTACAATTGACTACTTGAATCACTTATACATGCATGGTTATAATTTTATATACAAAAATTGCTAATTATTTATAGAAATAGTTACTTTAATAGATATAATTTTTCTGGTACAATATTGTTGGTGTTGATTATCCAGTCCTAACTCATTTAGCATTTTTACATGTATGACATTTTTTGTCAAACACCCCTAGCGAACTGACAGAAAGATTTATAAATTTAACAGATGTAAAGTTTTGATCCAGTTCTCTAATTAGGTTTTTATATTTAGCTTTCTTGCGGTTAACATTGTTTGTAAGGTTGGATTCAAAGCCTACGGTAAGTTCAACAACGTAGAGGTGTTTGTCTGAAGTGGAGACAAGTAAATCAGGACGATATTCATCTCCCGTAATAATCGAGGGGCTTTCAAATCCAGGAAGATCAATTTGTAATTTGCATTCGTTTAAACTTTGAAAAGTTTTTGCAAGAAAGTTTAGTATGCAATCGTGTCTCCAAGTAAATCGTTCCAAGTAATGTTGACAACCGGCAACAACGTGTAGAAGTGATTCAGGGTGTAAGCAGAACGAGCAGTCAGAACTTGATGAAATTCCCCATCTACTGAGGTTCTTTCGGGTAGGAAGGGTATTATTCATATAGCGAATTGTAAAGTTGAAAATGTTCTTTGGTAGCTTTGATTGCGATACCGACCAAATTGCGTTAAGTTGTGATAGGGAGAATTTAGAAATATTTTCGAAAAAGGAACCTTGACATTTCAAACGGTCCCTAAGTTTATTTTCTTGTTGAGAATGGAAAGTTTTTAAAACTTCTTTAGTTGAATTGTAGCTATCGTATTGAATGTTAGTATGATTATTAGTTGACTTCCACAGTTCGTTAAT